GTGTTTCACGCTCTTCCCAGCTCAGTCTTTAGGGTTTCAAGTTTTATGATGCCATCTCCAGACCCCACCCATTACAGGCAGTAAGGTTTTATGTCGAAGTTGTGTTGTCAGACTCCACAAATTCTGGTTTCTTCTGGGTGAAGCCACTTTAATCTGAAGGAGAAGGTCATTTTAACAGTAAGGAATCCACCATCTATCTCTAAATGGTTTTAACAGTGTTTAAAATACATTTTAACAACCTCATAAAAAACATCATAAAAGTACCATTGATCACAGTGAAAGATACAGATGCATTTTAATGACTCAGCAGGGCCTACTTGGACATGAAAGCCCATTCTAATATTGCAGAGAGACGATTCCCCGGCGAGAAAAAGAAATCACTAAGCAAGCCAAACAGTGAAGTTCAAAATAAGAGCGAAATTCAAAACAATACCCCCCTAAGAAACGACGGTCTGTATTTTACCGAGGTGCGTTACAGTATTACAGCCCCGATTGAGCTCTGTCGTCCTGCACTGCTCTCACTCTCTACTCTGGGATTACAGTGGCGAAAAGCGCTTGGTGGTGGTGATAAAATGCAAAGGCTTTCCTCCAAGGCAGTTAGTTTTTCTGAAGGACTCAGACTCCGGCTCACCCACGCGTTTTCCTCACACCGTGCACATGGCGCCAATGAGCACCAGGAGGTCGGGCTGCTTCCCTTGGCGCAGCTATCCCAGCACAACCTGGGGCAGAAGGCAGACCCGGGCACGGTGCACACACCACCACCGTGTCCCGTAGCGGTGAGGGCTGCTGCATCCCGCTGCCGAAGTGCTCGGGTTGGCAGGGGGCCTGGCAGTGCGCGATGCTCTCAGTCCTTCCCAGGGCAGAGGGGCCGTCTGCCCTCACCTTCCCTTCTCCCGTTCCTCTCTTCGTGCCGGGCATCGCCAGTCAGCCGGTCCCTGCAGAAAAGGATGCTGGTGGAGCCCCGCAGCAACGCTTAGCTGTCTGCCAGCAGCAGCTCCTGACTCGTCAGCACGTCATTTGCCCAAGATGGAAAGTCAGAACTTAATTTCCTGGCTTTAGGTGTATCAGCTCCTCCTGACAGGGCAGACTGGAGCAGATGGCATGATTTAGGGTGTCTTGCACTGACAATCTCCAGGCCAGTTTTACCAAGAACTCCAGCCGTAGCTTTTAGATGCTCTTTTCGCATGATGAAGTAACAGTCTGGTCTAGGTTTGTTTCTTTGTACAGTACAGCAAACATCCTTGCTCAGATTGCTGCCCAGTGTTTCCAATTACAAGATGAAACAAGATTACCGTAGCAAGACAAACGATCTCTCTGGGAGGGAAGGGTTTTTCTGTATCTTGTCTTTGCAGCACAGCAAGTACAGCCTTTTATGGAAGTGGAAATACGTGCTTGTCTCACCAACTGCAGTAATCCAGGTTTCCTTTCTCTTTGGACCCCTTGTATATGGTTTATATACTCACCTATAAGTGGCAGCGATGAAGCAGACATGGTGACATGTTCTACATTTACTTACTGTGCAGGTCAGACTGCTGCTGTGCTTTCTCCAGTCCGATCTTCTCGCAGAACTGCTTGAAAACCTGAGCAGTTTCAAGGAGCTTCTGCTTAAACTTGCTCCAGTATCGCCTCTGTCTAAATCAGGGATCTCAACAAACGTGCGACGTTAGGAAATCTGGGGTGGCAAAAACCCAGGTTTCACCAGTGCCAGATGAAGGTCTGGTATTTTAGGGTGAAACAACTGGAAATGATATTTTTACATCACTAATTAGAGAAGATTTCCCAGATTGCCTGTGTGACGCATGGTAGAAGGTTCTTTCAGTATTTCTCTTGACTTTTGGCTACGGAGAGACCCGTATTTACAAGTGTATTTAACTGCTGTGGTGTAACCCCGGCTGGCAGCTAAGCCCCACACAGCCACTCACTGCCCCCGGGAGTTATTGTAAACCTTTTTGGCTACTTCTGTTGTTTGCATCAGCTTCCTTGTCCCCTGCATACATCACATTTATGTCTGAACTCTGGTTTCACGCAGGTTCGCTGGGGTGATAAAGGATCCACTGAAGAAGGGGCTAGATTAGAAAAAGCAAAAAACGCTGTGGTGAAACTCCCAGAAGAGACAGAAGAGCCTTTTCACCCCAAACCACCTAAACCAAAGCCTACCTCACCAGCCATGCAGCAGAAGTGGTACACGCCAATTAAGGTAATGCTTCCAGTCTTCGGCACAGCAGCATTTTCCCTAGGGGCTGCACTTTGTCTGCCTTACCAGGCTAACGCACGCTGACCTGTGCGCCGTGCACCTGGCAGGGACCGCGCTGCGTGCGTGCGGGGCTCGGTGCTGCCAGGGCACTTCTGCACGGATCTGCCTGGACAGACAGACAGCGTGCGCTGTGCAGTCCACTGACCGACTGCACCGCGCTGAAAGTCCTGCTGCTGTGTTCCGCAGGGCCGACTGGACGCGCTGTGGGCGCTGTTACGACGGCAGTACGACAGAGTCTCTCTGATGCGACCACAGCAAGGAGATGAGGTTTGTGTGCGGCGGGTTCCGGGCTAGGGGCAGCAAGCGGGGGCGTGTTACAGCCAGGGCTGCTGCCAGCAGCTGCTGAGCGCTGGGTAATTCCCTGACCTTGGCTAAAGACAGTGCAGCCAAACGAACGGGAAAAATAACACACTGGGGAAACACGGTGCATCGAGAGACGCATCACACCAACCAAGAAATGCTGTGGAAACACGGATCTGCTGAAAGCAGAGTGGAGCATTCTGGGTTTTGCGTGTGCTCAGCTGGAATACAAACACATAGCACAGGCTCCATGCAGGGTCAACTCACTGCAACAGACACCCGAATCTGTCTTACATCCAGTGATTTGTAAGAGCTTGGCAATCAGAACACTAAACCCACATCAAATTTAAGTGACCACCTATACTTCCATGCGAGTTGCTTCACATGGCTTTGCACTTCATGCCAAAGGCAGCTCGTTTCCCAGTCAGTCTCTCTTCTAGGACTCCATGGCCCAGGAAAAGGGGCCTCTCCTGCAGAGACTGCTGTGACTGCGGAGCAGGGGAAGTAGAGTTGTCATTTGAACCTTTCACAGTACAGCCACGTTGTGTATTATTTCTGATTGTTACTCCTTAAGAAAACATTACTTTACATCTTGGCATGTGTCTCAGGAACTGATTTATCATTAGGGTATTTCAAATCTACTGGAACCATTCAGCTTCCAGTTTGGGGCACATCTGAGGAGACTCAGGAGCAAACCTTTTCCTCTAAAAGAGATGGCAGCTTTTTCTCACCGAGCTGGGGCCTGACAGAGGCACAGAGCTCACACACAAAGCAGCAGTACGCAGGAACACTCTTTTTGCAACGTACACCATAAAGATACCGTAAAGAGAACCAGAGGGGTTAAAAGGAAGGACTTACCTTGGAGACAGTGAGAGGTGATGGGTGTTAAGGTTCTTTTCCTGGTGACCGGGATGGAGTTTGGCACGGTTCTAAAGGGAAGAAGAAAAGGTAAGATTTAATTAAGGGCAAAGTGCAACGGTGGATGGAAATAGCAGAGTCAAATACTAGTGTTACCATTCTAGTTGTGACGTTGGCAAGTTATTTACTGTTTGCATGGATGAGGCATGTTACGTGTAACAGAATTAGCAACAACTCTATGTACAAAATGTACTGTGCAATACAGTTTAACAGGTAAATTCAGTGTAAAAGGGAACGTAGAAGAAATGGTGCGTAAGCAGGCTAAAACCCTGTCAGCTGGCCCTGTTTTGGGATTTCTGACCACAAAGGCAGGTAGTTCCTGTAAACACTGCCCTGCCAGGGAGAGCTTTGTTGGGCCGTGGAGTCAGGCACCCATCTTGTCTGGACTTGACAGGGAGGAGTTGACCAGCGTCTCGCTTTATGACAGACAGGAGTAGCCCACTAACCTGTGGTATCCCCACTGGAAAAAGGAGTGCAATTTGGACTGATGAGTAAAATCTGAACGCGCGGTCACTGGCCGTGTGTGACGCTGTAGGAATGGTGTATTAACTGGTACATATAAATACCAGTTTGGGCCTGGTACGGTATGGCACAAATGGGATCGTTCTCCTTGGTGGCGAGTTGCTGGGTGCAGACCCCATGCTGTACCCCCCGGGTCTGAGCCGGAGCGGACGAGCGGTCACGTGTACGGCGAGATTCGCACCCGCGCACTTGCTCGGGAAGCACGGTTATGGCGAGCAGCAGCCATGCAGTTGTCTCGTTTTGTTTTCTTTGTTTTATTGTTTAAGACTTGGTAGTTCCCATTTGTAGAAGAATTCACCGCTGAATTCAAGTCCTTGATCAAGTAATTGAAATGTAGGCACGAAGTATCAAAGCGCAGCGAGCTTTTCCTCCCCTCTCCCTCCTCTCCCACCTCCTCCGCGTCGCCAGCCGCTGCCGAGGGTGGCCCCGTTTGAGGGCTGCAGGCAGCACACCGAGCAGCTTTGATTGCGGGTGGAAGTCCTCCGAGTCATGAATTTTTCAGCTGTCGATCCGCGGGGCCGGGGAGGCTCGTCCAGGTGTGCGCTAGCAGGTTGCTGCCGACATCTGCTTGGAGCGGAGGCGCAGGTCCTGGCAGCCTGCAGCGAGGCTGCAGGATTGTCAGCAGATGTAGTTGAGAGTGGCAGAACAGTTTTGGTCTCACATTTGCCGCCTGGGGGCTGAAACACTAAAGGTAGAGTGGGGGTGGACACAGCTGCGCTCCCAAACATGCCTCGGGCACAAATAAAGAGATCTAACATAGTTTGACTCTGTTGTGGTGGGGAGACGAGGACAGAGAGCCACTTCAGAGACAACCGAGCACTGCAACATCTGCCGCCAAGTTTCCAGGGAGTGACAGGGGACAGCAGGTACAGATCGAAGTCCCCACATAAACAGCCTCCATTAAGCCATGAACCCTTTTGAAGGGCTCCCATCAAACGCAGAGGAGGCCGCAGCAGGAGATTTTGTTTTCAAAGTCGTGTTTTGTTTTCTGTGCTAACAAGATAATTTATAAATGATGCATTACCCAGCGCTCATGCTCCTGTTTATTCTTTCTTTCCTTTCTCCATTAAAGCAGTGAAGAAGGATGAGGCACCGTAGTTTTGGGGTACTTTGTCTGAGGGTTCTACCTGGGGTCAGTCGGTGGTGCTGAACGCGGGTGCTGTAACGGTGCCGTGGTGGGGGAGCCTCTGCCATTGCCTCTGCCCTGAAACCCCTCTCCCACCGAGCTGGGCACTTGGTGCAGCCTCACGGTGTGACCGGTCGGGTCCAGGCTTGTGTTTATACCTCAGGGTAATCACTTGGGTCTTTGACAATCTCTATGTGACCTGGTTGGTTTCTGCAGTTTGGTGCTGGCTGTTGCCGGCGGTGTCACCGCTGCGTGGACACCAGCAGGCGGTAGGGCTGGTGATGGTCCTGTCGGAAGCAGCCATGCCAGTGTAGGAGGTACTTTCCATGGAGCCATGATCTCCTTGAACACAGCATTTTATAAAGCCGAGCTGCCACCGGGGTGTGCCGCCAGCAGGATCCGTGCTGTCGTTATCAGTTTACAAACAGCTATCCCAAAGATGGGTGCTTCAGGCCTCCTGAAACAGAACAAACCGTTTGGTCACGGTGGTAACTCCAGCATGGGGATGATGCCTGTTGAGAAGGAAGAGTGACATCTTTTCCGGGTGGAGGCTGAACTACAGCGTCAGGTACCATCTCTGCCACCCTAAGCAGCATTACCATCCTTCCCCCCTCCAGGCCGTACTAAAAAGAAGGCGTTTCATTTGGCAGTTCAGGTTTTGGCAATGACTCTTTCATCGGGCATGATTCAAAGAGGAAAAAGGAGATTTGTTTTCCTAACTCCTCAAAGTGCCTTTCCTATGGGGCGGTTGGCAGTAACAGCCGTTACGTGCAGTCACCGCCTGTCTCCCAGCGAGGAGAGGGCAGTCCGCACCCACACCTGAGCAGACCCGCAGAGCACAGCCCTCGCGTGCGGGGCCCATGCAGTCGGTGCTGGTGCTGCGGATCTGGTTCTGCACCATGCGGACAGGCGGTACCCCCAGCAGCAGCGAGCTGACGGGTTCGCTCGGCCGCTGCTTCCCACAAGAGACGTGGCAGCCTCAACTGCCTGGGCGCGCAGACTGATGAACCAGCCCTGCACCCCTAACCAGATTAGCTCCCTTCCCATTAACCGCGGAGAGGAGGGCAGCTGTCCGAGCGGCTGGCTGCAAATTCCGTCGTGTCTGCTGCGTTAATCTGCGGGCTTTTCAGATGAAGGAGGCAGCAGATAACAGGATTAAAGTTTGACGACCCAGGGTTTTCACAGCCTGAGACGCGGGCGTAGGGGGATAGAGAGTGACTTCTGTCATTAATCTTAATTGATTGCCAAGAGATTTTAATCTGGGTTATTAATTAGGAAGGTCCTTAACACGCTGTCTACATATCAACATCAGATGCTCTTTTGGGACTTTTGGGACATATGGCCTATCTTATATTTACATTCACACAATTTACACATACATACATTTCTGTATGAAGAAATTCTTATATGTATATATGCATTCAGATAGCTGTGGAAGCATTTGCATGCACCGAGGCATCACACACTCTTTGGCAACATGCGATGAAAATTAAAAAACCACGGTGCAAACAGGTTAAATTGCCACCTAATAGCACATATACCTCTACTGAGGCTGGTGTGTGTATGAATCTGTTTCAGCTATGTGTGCCTTTTATCCAGACGATCTTTCAAGGGGAAACCCTGGATTTGCAGATTTAGGCCGTGCTTAACTGAAGTGCGGCCAAACAGAAACACAACCATTTGCACCTTCCACACTTGGATGAGGTGACGTCCGGGCCTTCCCTTTTCCCTTTGCCCGTGTTTGAACAAGGTCCAGAACAGGCAGAGGTGCAGCTGCCCATAGCTACAGCTGTGTAACCATGTGATAAATCCCAGTGACGCTGCTTCCACGGTTACAAAGCACTGCATGCAGGGGAAACACTGGATTATGATTTGAGCTTATAAACTAGGCAAGAGAAGAAAAAGCTGTGACAGAGTCCTGGCCTTTGAATCGTGTGCAGGTTTGAAGTGAGGGTTTCTGCGTCACCATGGAGGTGCTGCTGTCACCTGTGGGTACCGGTGGCAGCCCAGACCTCGGGGAGCCCCATGGGTTTCTGATGAGTTCATGCTAAAGGGCACTGAGTTTGAAGGGTGCTCAAACGGCCCACCCCGATACCGCCCACCCCAGAGTCCAACGCCTGAAAGCACATGGTAATCATCCTGTGTAACCTCATCTGGGTGTTCCTGCTCCGGCAGGGGGATTGGACTGGATGAGCTTTGGAGGTCCCTTCCAACCCCTAACGTTCTGGGATTCTGTGATTCTGTGATTCAGTGCATGCACATCTCATCAGCTCAGTACAACGTCACCAGAAGGAAGGCAGGGTGAGGGAGCTGTGCTGGTTCTTGCAGAAGCGAAGAGTGAACAAGAAGACAGAAAGTAGGGAAGGACTGCAGCGCAGACTGCTGAATGCGACAGCTACACGGTAGGGGCGGGCAGTGGGGAGAAAAA